CTTATGGAATGTGTTTATTATTCCCAATGCTAAGCATTGTGCTGGGTACTTTTTATACATTATCTCATTTAGTCCTCATGACAGTCTTATGAAACGTATGAAAAAGGTATGATTATCCCCTATTGGCAGATAGAAGAACTGCTAGAACGCAATGTGTCCATGGTCACGTAAGTAGTGAATGATGGAGCCAGGAAACAAGAAGACATCCCACCTGTCATTTGCTGTTGCACATTGACATTTAGCAGGATTCTGAGCCTAGAGGTCTTTTATTCAGCTTCTTCTCTGTGCCTCCCACCACCATGCTATTAGAGCTTCTAGAAGCTATATTGTTGCTGTTTAAAGCAATATGATGTTCAGATGCTATAGCAGGAGTCCATGTATAACTAAAGATTTAACATACCATTGTGCATAATAACCAGAAAACCTTTACACAGCAGGAAAATTACATAAAATGTTCAAAACAAGTTTTCAGACTTGTGTCTGTGTGTTCAGAAACATGTGTGTCTCTTGGTTGAGCTTTTCTTTGCAGTTCAGTAAGACACAAAATGTTCATGTTTCTCGATGGACGCAGTTTAAAAGTGTAGATTTCTTATTAATTGTGGCTATTCTTTGAAGAAAATTGGTAATATTGTCTGACAATAATTAAGTTAGAAGAGGGAAGAGATAGCAGACTTGCTTGTCAGTGGTGGTGTTAGCTGCCGTCGAGTCTGTGCCCACTCATAGCAAACCCACACACAGCAGAACAGAACGCTGCCAGGTCCTGCACCGTCCTCACAGTCAGGCTGTGAGCAAGGGCTGTGCTTGAGCCCTTGTTGTAGCCACTGTGTCAGTTTAACTGATTGAGCATCTTCTTTTTCACTGACACTCTGCTTTACCAAGTGTGGTGTCCTTCTCTAGGGACATCCCTTCTGATAACATGACCAAAGTACATGAGAAAAATTTTACCACCCTCACTTGCTAGACTTGCTAGGCTGACCGAAAGTCTTATATAGCAGGTATTGTGCCAGAAGCTCCTATAAAAATGAAAGAAAAATAGTGCTTGTTTTGTATATGAAGTAGGGGGAGCTCTGGTAGCATAGTGCCTAAGGCACTTGACTGCTAACCAGAAGGCTGGTGGTTCAAACCCACCAGCCACTCCTCGGAAGGAAGACTGCGCAATCCTATTTCCGTAGTGATACTGCCTCGGAAACCCAAGGAGGGGTCGCTATGAGTTGGGTCCAACTTGACAGCACATTAACAACAACAACATATGAAGTAGGCGATAGTTATTTTTAGATTTATATCTTGCTGGGATAAAAATATAATTTTAAATCTATAGACAAAGATCAGAATGTCACAAAGAAAATATGTAGTTTTAGTATGTTAATTGATAGCCTTTTGAAAAGCAGTGTAGTTTAATTTAGTTTCTGACTAATGTGTGTAATTTGGTGGAATATTAAAGTCTTTAACCTTTACTTTTTTTGACATTCTACTAACTTAAATATCAAGGAAAAAAAATTGGTTTGCTGAGCGCTCACTCAAGAACCAGAATGCAGTTTTTATTTTTTTGTGTGTACCTCCTTCCCTCTTGTGAATAATGGGTTTTTGTGAGCAATAATCAAGTCACTCTTACAGAGTATTATAGAAGGTATTATAGTTTATGCCTAGTCTTTTTCTTTTAATGTTTTAACTTTTCATTTAAAAATATTTCCAGACTTATTTAAAAAGCTGCATGCTTATTCATTTCTTAAATAATGTACAGTTTTAAGTACTGGCAGTCTAATCTCAGGGTTGGCTTTTAGATTGGAGATTATTTTTTGTTTGGTCATGCTTGAAAATATATCTAGATTTTAAAAAAATATACCAGTGCTTTATGAGTTTTTTTACCCTAAGACTAGCTCACCCTATAATCTTAAATTATATTAGAGGGAGCACGTACTAATCTAGCTATTTTATTTTCTCTACTCTTTTTTTCTTTTGTTGCTGTTGTTTCTTTGTTTTCATTCCTTTCACATAGGCTGGAACTCAGATTAGCCTGGCCGATTTACCATTTACCAATGAGATTTTTACTCTGTGGTATAACTTGCTTCCTTCTAAACAAATGCCTTGCACAAAGAGTGAAGGAGAAAATGAGGATTCTGTATTTCAACCAAACCAGCTGTCTGTCAACTCTGTAGACTTGGTAAGTCAAAAATAGAGAAAAAAGTCATTAAAATTTAACAATATAGAATTCTTTGATACCAGTGTGTTTTTGTTCACTTTCTCTTTGCTTGCTTTTTCTACCTTCCCACGTATTTCTTTCCCCCACCTTCTCTAAAAGGAAGAAAATTTTAAAAAGAAGAGAGATAATTTACAGGCTTCATTTTTTGAGTGACTATAGAAAACCTGATTTAAATTTATGTTTTCAGACATTTTGTTGACGTATTTCATTCATCTGTCAGGCTATACATTTGGAACTCACATTTTGCAAATTAGTTACTATTAAGGCTAAGTAATATCTTAATTTCCCATTTACAACATCAAGATCTATATGTATTTTCTGTTAAAAAGTTTGTGGCAAGCGGTAGTCATAGTTCATAGTTCAGTATTCAAAAGTTTTATAAGGGGACATTTTATGAAGCCATCACTGATATTGCATTTGTGGTCATTGTTACTAAGTTCAGGTTTATTTTAGGTTGTCTGTAAGGAACTTTGGTGGCATAGTGCCTAAGCCATTTGACTGCTAACCAGAAGGTTGGTGGTTCAAACCTACTGGCCACTGCATGGAAGGAAGACTGGGCAATCTACTTCCGTAAAGATTTACTGCCTCGGAAACCCAAAGGGGGTTGCTGTGAGTTGGAATCAACTTGGTGGCAGTGAATTTGCTTTGAGTTTTTATGAGGAAAGAGTTCATTAAGCAAAAGCCAGGTAATTAAGGTATAATGCACTGCTCATTTACTTTGTGCGAGAAATTGTACCGGACCTAGTGGTAAACAGAGGAATGGAAACAAATGTGTCAGTGAAGTTTATATTACATGGCCAATTCAGTGGTTGACACTAAATGAGGCACACAAGATGACGAAATATGATTTCTATTTTAAGAATGCTTTTACGATATTCACTCTATATAGGTCTTTTCAACAAATTCATTACAATGTAATTCACGCACCATGTTGTTGTTTTTGTTAGGTGCCATTGGGTTGGCTCTGACTCATGACAACTCTGTACAACAGAATGAAACACTACCAGGTTGTGCACCATCCTCATAGTCCTTGCTATACTTGAATCCATGCTTATAGCCACTGTGTCAATCCATGTCGTTGAGGGTCTTTCCCATTTTATCTGACTCCCACCTCACCTATTGTTCATTCTGACAACATGAACAAAGTATGTGAGACAAAGTTTGGCCATTCTTGCTTCCAAAGAGCATTCTGGCTGCACTTCCTCCAGGACAGATTTGTTCATTCTTCTGGCCAAACCAAAAACCAAACTAACTGCTGTCGAGTTGGGTTTTACTCATAGCAACCCTTCCTTGGGTTTCCGAGGTGGTATCACTATGGAAGTAGATTGCCAAACCTTCCTTCCAAGGAGTGGCTGATGGGTTTGAACCACCAACCTTCTGGTTAGCAGTCAAATGCCTTAGGCATAATGGTATTTTCAGTATTCTTCACAAACATCACAATTTAAAAGCATCATCTCTTTTTTAGTCTTCCTTATTCATTGTCCAGCTTTCATATGCATATGATGTAATTGAAAATACCATGGCTTGAGGTAGGAACACCTTAGTCTTCAAAGAGACATCTTTGCTCTTCAACACTTTAAAGAGGTCTTTTGTAGCAGATTTGCCCAGTGTAATACGAAATCTGATTTTTTGACTGCTGCTTCCATGGGTGTGTTGATTGTGGAAACAAGTGATATGATATCTTTGACAACTTCCATCTTTTCTCCATTTATAATGATGCTGCTTATTGGTCCAGTTGTGAGGTTGTTTGTTTTCTTTACATTGAGATGTAATCTATACTGCCGACTATAGTCTTTAATCTTCCTCAGTAAGTGCTTCAACTTATTTCAACTTTGAGCAAACAAGGTTGTGTCACCTGCATATTGCGGGTTGTTAATAAGTCTTCCTCCAGTCCTGATACCTTGTTGTTCTTCATATAGTCTGGCTTCTGGGATTATTTGCTTAGCATTCAGATTGAATAAGTATGGTGAAAGGATACGACCCTGACATACACCCTTCCTGATTTTAAATCTTGCAGTATTGCCTTGTTCTTTTTAAACAAGAGCCTCCTGGTCTATGTACAGGGTCCTCATGAGCACAATTAAGTGTTCTGGAATTCCCATTCTTTGCAATGCTATTCATAATTTGTTATGATCAACACAATGGAAAGTTTTTGCATAGTCAGCGAAACACAAGTAAACATCTTTCTGCTATTCTTTGCTTTGAGCCAAGATCCATCTGACATCAGCAGTGATATCCTTCATTCCACCTCCTCTTCTGAATCCACCTTATATTTCTGGAAGTTCCGTATTAATATACTCCTGCAACCATTTTTGAGTTATCTTCAGCAAGATTTTACTTGCATGTGATATCAATGATATTCGATAATTTCCATATTCTGTAGGATCACCTTTCTTTGGAATGGGTACAAATACGGATCTCTTCCAGTCAGTTGGCCAGGTAGCCGTCTTCCAAATCTCTTGGCATAGCAGAGTGAACACCTCCAGTGTGGCATCCATTTGTTGAAACATCTCAGTGGGTATTCCGTCAATTCCCAGAGCCTTGTTCTTTGCCAATTCCTTCGGTGCAGCTTCAACTTCTTCCTTCAGTACCATTCGTTCTTGATCATGTGCTACCTCCTGAAATGGATGAATGTCGACCATTTCTTTTTGGTACAGTGACTCTACGGAATCCTTCCCTCTTCTTTTGATGCTTCCTGTATCATTCAGTATTTTACCCATAGAATCTTTCAGTATTGCAACTCGAAGCTTACATTTTTTTCTTCAGTACTTTAAGTTTGAGAAATGCTGAGCATGTTCTTCCCTTGTGAGAAGATTATATACTTTTACTTTACTTTATCTTCTTGAGCTACCCTTTGAAAGCTTCTATTCAGCTCTTTTATCTTGTTATTTCTTCCATTTCCTTTAGTGTACTCTCCTTTCAAGAGCAAGTTTCAGAGTCTATCGTGACATTTATTTTGGTCTTGTCTTCCTTTCCTGTCTTTTTAATGACCTTTGCTGTCTTCATGCATGATGTTCTTGATTACATCCACAACTCGTCTGGGTTTTGGTGTTTACTGTTCAGTGTGTCAGATCTCTTCTGCAGATGGTCGGTAAACTCAGGTGAAAGTTGTATTTTGGTTCTTGTGGACTTGTTTTAATTTTCTTCAGCTTCAACTTGAGCTTGCATGTGAGCAATTGATGGTCTGTTTCACAGTCAGCTGCTGGCTGGCCTTGTTTTGGCTGAAGATAGTGAGCTTCTCCATCACCTCCTTCCACAGATGTAAGTCAATCTGATTCCTGTTGCAGTGTAGTAAATTACATGATGTGGCTTCTCTAGCCATAGTATTTGTAACTCCCACTTTGCCATGAGTAACTGAGTAGCTGCTTGTTAAAAGTCATCCACCTAGAGCAACAAAAAGCAATCTTCTGGGAAGTTCATGGTCTCGCAGGTGTATAGAATTCTGATGTTGGGATTGGTCAGTTTGGCCACTCTGCCAGACCAGGCTCAAAAGGAGTCCTCCTAGAGGCAGAAGGAGTCTCTCTGATTGCCAGCTGAGAAAGACATGCTGTGGAGAGACGTGAGAGAGACACGCTGCTAAGAGAGAGATGAAAGAGACATCCACTGCTGAGATAGAGATGTGCTCCTGAGATAGACTGTGGGTTGAGAGACAGCTAGCTGAAAGAGACTGAGCGCATTCCTGAACTTGAATTGTAGCCTGTTGCTTCTCTAATAAATCCCATAATCTATGAATTCTGTGTGGCCATTGCAGCAAATTATCAAACCCAACAAAGAGGTGGTGGGTACTGTGGGAAGGACGGTTGGTGTCAGGAAGATAAGAGGGCTGGGAGGGTAGCAGCATACCTGGCCTACGTTATAAGAACAAGCCTTGGGCTGCTGATGGTGATTTTGTCCTCCCCTTGTGTACCTCTGTATTCCATCTGGCAAGGTCCACCTGTATAGCTGCCGTTTACGTTGTTGAAGAAAGGTATTTGCAATGAATAAGTTGTTGGTCTTGCAAAATTTTATTATACGATCTCTGGCATCATTTCTATTCCCAAGGCCAAATTTTCCAGTTACCAAGGGTTCTTCATTTTTTTTCCCACTTTCATATTCCAGTCACCAGTAATCATCAATACATCTTAATTGCTTGTTTGGTCAGTTTCAGACTGCATACTTTGGTAAAAATCTTCAATTTCCTTGTCTCTGGCTTTAGTGGTTGGTGTGTATATTTAAGTATTAGTAGTATTAACTGGTCTTTCTTGTAGGCATATGGATATTATCCTGTCACTGACAGCATTGTGCTTCAGGATAGGTCTTGAAACATTCTTTGTGACAATGAATGCAACTCCATTCTGCTTAAATTTGTCACTCCCAGCCTAGTAGATCATATGTTTGTCTGATTGAAAATGGCTAGTACCAGTCCATTTCAGATCACTAATGATATCAATCTTTATGTGTGCCATTTCATTTTTGACAGCTTCAAATTTTCCTAGATTCATACTTCATACACTCCATGTTGCGATTATTAATGGATGTTTGCAGCTATTTCTTCCAATTTTGAGTCATGCCCCATCAGCAAAGAGGTCTCGAAAGCCTTACTCCATCCATGTCATTAGGGTCACCTCTACTTTGAGGAGGCAGCTGTTCCTCAGTCATATTTGGAATGCCTTCCTACCTTAGGGGCTCATCTTCTGGCACTATATAAAACAATATTTCAGGGTTATTCATCCCATTTTCCAGGAATATATCAGACAGTGTTTCCCTGCTATTCAAAAGGTTTTCACTGGCCAGTTCTTTGGCAAGCGGATGACCCATTCCTTCTTCCGAGTCTGTCTTAGTCTGGAAGCTCCACTGAAGCCTGTCTACCATGGGTGAACCTACTGGTATTTGAAATACTGATGGCACAGCCTCTAGCCTCACAGCAACATGTAGGCTATCACAGTGCAACAAAGTGACAGATGAGTGGTGGTCACATACCA